GGGACCTGCAACCTGACTTTTATTCCCTTATCGATTTCCCCTATCTAACCTTTGGATTGGCAACACAAATGGAAGTATATAACAGATCAGGTGCCTGCGAGATGGCATGACAATCCACGAATACAAATCTGACCGCATATACTCGACACTTAGCGCTAAGATGTCGTAGGGTCTTATCTTCTTACACAGTTTCTAGGATATCCTAAGGTCTTAACTTCTAACACTGTTTCTATGATATCCCAGGGTCTTAACTTCTATTACTGTTTCTAGGATATCCTAGGGTCTTAACTTCTAACACTGTTTCTAGGATATCCTAGTGTCTTAACTTCTAACACTGTTTCTAGGATATCCTAAGGTCTTAACTTCTAACACTGTTTCTAGGATATCTTAGAGTCTTAACTTCTAACACTGTTTCTAGGATATCTTAGAGTCGTAACTTCTAACTCTGTTTCTAGGATATCCTAGGGTCTTAACTTCTAACATTGTTTCTAGGATATCCTAGGGTCTTAACTTCTAACACTGTTTCTAGGATATCTTAGGGTATTAACTTCTAACACTGTTTCTAGGATATCCTAGGGTATTAACTTCTAACACTGTTTCTAGGATATCTTAGAGTCGTAACTTCTAACTCTGTTTCTAGGATATCTTAGAGTCTTAACTTCTAACACTGTTTCTAGGATATCCTAGGGTCTTAACTTCTAACATTGTTTCTAGGATATCCTAGGGTCTTAACTTCTAACACTGTTTCTAGGATATCTTAGGGTCTTAACTTCTAACATGTTTCTAGGATATCCTAGGGTCTTAACTTCTAACACTGTTTCTAGGATATCTTAGAGTCGTAACTTCTAACTCTGTTTCTAGGATATCTTAAAGTCTTAACTTCTAACACTGTTTCTAGGATATCTTAAAGTCGTAACTTCTAACTCTGTTTCTAGGATATCCTAGGGTCTTAACTTCTAACATTGTTTCTAGGATATCCTAGGGTCTTAACTTCTAACACTGTTTCTAGGATATCCTAAGGTCTTAACTTCTAACACTGTTTCTAGGATATCTTAGGGTATTAACTTCTACACTGTTTCTAGGATATCCTATTGTA